ATATATATATATATATATATATATATATATATATATATATATATATACAAATGTACAAATTGATTTATATGTATATAATATTTATATATAGATATAAATGATATATATATATATATATATATGTATGTATAATATAAATACGACACACACAGAGAGCATGCGACACGCACGACAGGTGGACAAAATACAAAAAACGTAGTAGGTATCCCAAATAGAGTAAGAGAACAGATTCCTTGTGAATGAAACAACGAGAATTCGAGACAAAACGTGAAAAGGAAGACACGATTGTAAGGAGCGTCAACTTACCTCGAGTAGCTGCTGATTTCTGATCTCTCGTTCCCGCCTCACCGCCTCCTGCCGTTCCGATTTCTCTTGCTCCTTGATGAGCCTGCAAACCAGGATGCCATTAGTCGTTCTCACTCTGTCCATTGTACTTTCCAGTCTTCGAAAAGTAAAATTCGCGCGTCGAACGGTCGAAAACAGATCAGTCAATGAAAGGGTGGTGACGCAGTTATTCGAAAAGCACGTTGGTACAAAAATATCGGTCTTCGCGTGATTTGTCGTCGAGAAAGTGGTCTTGAATTACCAGTTGATTCCGATCCGACTGCATTAAAGACCTGTCACACCGAGCGAGTTACATAACGGATGGTGGGAAACACATTTACCGACTTGCACCCACAAGGGTATCGCTTTACAGGCCATACGATCGTGCCTGGAGCAGCTCGCTACCTCTAATATCCACAACATAATTTATTGCTCTTGCTGAAGCCGAAAGAGTAGCGCAGAGTATAAGTTTCACTGTCTCCTCGACGTTAACTTACCTAGCTTGCTCTTTGTGACGTTGGGCCTCTTCCTTCGCGAGTTTCTTCGCGTACGCAAGCTTCTCCCTCTCGTACTGATTGTTCGCTCGCACGTCCCTGAAACCACCCGCGACTCGGAGCTCCTCCAACCTTCTAGCCACCTCCTGGGCGCCCAACCTGACGAATTCCGCCTCCGCCAGACCCATCGTCGGCTGCAGGAACTCGCCTATCAGGGGACGGGACGAGAATGAGAAGTTCGCCGTCGTCAACTCTGCTGGATTCTGTTGTTCCAGGAACTGAAAAGTTACGATAGCTTATATTGATACTCAAAACTACCAGGATGTTCATGCAAATTCATGTTTTTACAGATAGAGAATCGAAATTTAAATGAAAATGTGTTTTATCTAAACCTTAGCCAGATCTGGACTGCTCCTGAAGGTCTTTCCGCAAGGGCTGTAGTAAGACACGTCACCCTTTATCACTCCCGACTTCCCCAATCCCTTGATAACGGTCTCCCGTTTCCAGCCCCGCTCCAACGGAACCTGAAGATCCCTCTCGCTGGGCTTGATCTTTCTTCTCTTCGCGCTAGACACTCCGTCCATGTTATCGTCGTCCGTATCCGTCACGACGTCCGTGTTGCTACCGCTCTCGCTGGTCACGTCCATGTTGCTCTCCTCGCCGGACACCTCCAGCAGTTTGTTCTTCATCTTCTCCTGCAAAGACCGCTATATAGGGAGCATGGTTTTAGTGCGAAATCATAAGTGAAAAAAAGCAAACAAAAGGATCGGCTCCTTCCTATGTTCTTCTTCTTGGGCATACCTGGCTGGCGCGTAATTAAATTAAAACTGATTTGAAATAGATTGGAAATGGGGAATAACGAAATAATAAAATGCTAAATTTATTAACTAAAAGTTTAGATTTTATTTCTAAAATGTCACGAATAAGCTAATATCTTTTTACTACGAGGAACTGGCCAAGACTAACTGACAAACGTTAGAAGAAAAAGATAGGAAGAATTTGTAACAGTATACATCGCAGTTTTCACGCATCTGAAGAGGCTCTACGGAACTATAGGAAGGATCGTCAATGGCACTTGAAAGGGCAAGTCTATTATATATACATTGTACATATATTCTCGATACATTTATTTTTGTAGCAAAATAAAAGATTGAGTTATAGTAAATATTCCAACAAAATAAAATCAACTGCGGTACCAATTCAAAAGGAATACCTTCTCGATTAGTAAATAAGCAGAGTTATAATAAAATAGTGTTAGTGTGTGAATCCACGGCGACGATTTTTACCTGACTCTTGTCGTCCGTTGCGGTGGCGTGCAGCTGAGCAGCGAGAATGTTCGATCTCAGCAAGGAGACCTGGTGAGACAATGGTACACTGGGATCCAAGGTGGGCGTAGGCTTGATGCCCAAAGCTCTGCTCTGGGCCAGCAGCGAGGCCACGGTGTTCTTCTTCGGCTTGGACACCCCGCGACCAAGATTCCTAGGTCGACCGTCCTTGTGGTGTGTCGTACTGGCGCTCTCGCTCTCCTCGCTTCCGCTGCTCGGTCGTTGCGGCGAATCCGCCGCGGCGAACAGCTGCGCCAACGACGGACTAGGCGACGCCGGGACCGGCACCGAGTTCTGGGGCACCCTTCGCGGCTTCGGACCCGGCTTTCGTCTCGCTGCGATTCGAGAATCGAATTGTTCCATGTGAATTTCTTGCAATGTCTCTTGAAAAGTTGATATTAAGGGGGTATGGGAGTCTGCAAGGCCGTAAAATATGGTGTAGGACGTTGTATTTCGGACCGCAGCCTGTGGTATTGTTTATTTGTAACGTCTAAAAGAATGCTTGCAATAATTTAACGGGTTGAAGCCCAGTGGAAGCTTTAGAATTTGGAAGTTTAGGGATTGGTCTCGATCTTTGGGAATTAGATTGAGAAAAGGGAGAAACTTCCCTCTTGGACTACTCCTACATCTATGAAACTGAATTCTCTGTCGTGTCTGGTATGTCTCGTGGATTCTAGTCAGGAAAAATATCTAAAAAATATCGAAGCTTCTCCTACTGTGAACCTACATCTTTTACATCACAATGGATTTATAATAGCAAGCTGGGAATTCAGTCTCATGGTGCAATTGAAGGTTTATCCACTGGATGCATCTTTGGGAAGTGGATTGAGAAAAGGGGGAAACTTTCTTCTTGGATTATTACTTCAGCCATGAAACTGAATTCTCTGTCGTGTCTAGTATGTCTCGTGGATTCTAGTCAGAAAAAATATCTAAAAAATATCGAAGCTTCTCCCACTGTGAACCTACATCTTTTACATCATAACAGACTGATTATTGCAAGCTTGGAGTTCAGTCTCATGGTGGAATCGAAGGTTGATCACTGGATGGACTTACATGTTCGATCGGAGGCGAGCAACGACTGGCTTAAATTACTGAGCTGGCTAAGCGGCTGACTACCAGAAATCGGCGAGCTACTGCTAGTCGTCGCAGGTTTCAGGGAGAGGTTCAGCGGCGCGTCCGAATCGTTCGAACTGTTCGCATTGGTGGTCGTGTACGACGTGGGTGCTGACAGAACGGAACCGTTGGTCGAATGTGCTGGCAATTTGATCACTTCCACACGATCTACCGGCTCTCTATAGTCGTTCGACTCGGTCTGGAAAATAGTCGAACGGCGATGTTACTCTGACGACCAGTCAGCGACGAATAGCCGATATTCCGTGGTTGTAATCGATACTAGGAACTTTGTTTTAATCGAATACGAGCTTTAGAAGTGATATGGACATCTAATACTAACTTTCGAGAGTTTAATATCAGTACTTTAAGATAAAGAGGAAAAGAATCGCTATATATAGAATAGAGGTTGCTATTTGCAAAGTTTTGTTGTGTGATGAACTACTCCATCTATTGGAGTAAATCTTTTCCTCTATTTTAACGAGTTCGATACTTCTTCTGACTGTACTGCGTAGTAAATGCAATTACCCCTGTACGGTTGTACTTTCTCGGTTCCATCATCAATGACGTCGTTGTCGTGTTTGTTTGATGAGCGCTGAGAGCAGGCACCGGCGGCGGATGAACGCTTACGCTCGGTGTGTCCAAGGATATGGTCTTCTTCCTGCCGCGGTTCGTCGTGCCAGGCACCTTTGGACCGACTATGCTCGACGTGTACTTGATGATCTCTGTGTCAGGAGGTAGCCGCACACCTCCCAATATACTGCTAGGATCGCTGCGTAAAATGAAGCACAGATTACTTAACTATTTTATTCTACTTGGAATTATATCTTCTAAGTTGTTTCAAGATGAGACACTTGGATAACTCAACGCCAAACCGATCAATTTTGTTCAGATCCGAATGTGTTACAGTCCATATGAAAGTAGGAGGATTTGAAGTCGTCGCTTTGATGCTTTTGCAATTGTTTAAAAAATAAAGGTTTTAAAAGATGTCACGTTTCATTGATTCTTACGAATACTGCACGTAAAATAAAATGCAGGATAATTCACTCGATCCGTGTCCCGAAATTGTTGACCATCAGAAGTATTTAGATGTCGTTCACTCGCGTGACGCCACTTTTTCAATCTCTCCCCGCCGCGATATATTAAATTCCACGGAACGAGCAACCAGTTAAAAGACAAATTGTCGAAAGCAGCGTGCAACGTTAAGCACCACCAAACAATCATAACAACGAAATTACGCGGTTACGAGCACCGCATAAAAGTTAAATTGACCGACACACGCGGTAGCGAGGGAGAGAGAGGGAACTGTAACACAGAATTTACCGTGAGAAATTGTCGAATGCGAAATAAAAATCGAGAATATCGGACCTCTTTCGTTTTATTTTACATGTATTATTTCCCCGGGGTTCTTAATGGTCTCTCACCTGCCCTCCTTCGCTGAACTGTGGACGTATCGGCAAGCGTGGAAAAATAATTAATGGGTACGGTAAGTGTGCCGTGGATGCGGCGTCAGTTAAAAATAATGGAGACGAGAAAATACAAAATCGATTTAACAAGCGCGCACTCGTACCTGACGACGTTCGTTTGGGAATTTGGAGTGCTGCTGGCCGAGGTATTGTGATGGGAGGACGTGATCGGTGCTTGCGTCGACACTGGCAAACTGCTGCTCGTCATGCTCGGCGTCGTCGAGCTGCTGCTGTTCGCCGGCGTCTTGTGACTCTTGCTTGACTTAGCTGTGGTTTTGCGACAGGGAACTTCAGCGATTTTTAAGTCGAGAACGAATCACGAGCTGTTGTACGTGCGCGATCGACTGAGAGAATCGTCCAAACAGGTAGTGCAAGACAGATACACTCTAACTTCGACTCAGTCATCGACACTTTGAATTTATTTCTTTGACGTGAGTATATGGCGTGATTCCATGAAACTGGAACTACCAGGGACGATCATTTTTTCTATTTGTATGTTTCAGACGACTCTCTGAACCGAGACGCGCTCGTTCGAGCCCGCGTGAAGGAGGAAGATGAAATGAATTTTGCGGATACTTACACTTACTGGACTTGTGTGACGAAAGGGACGGGGGATTAAGTAGAGAGGCCGGATAGGGTGGCAGAAGACTCTCAGCACCAGGCGGAAATCCGGGGAGTCCCGCCGCCCCTTGTAACCTCGCCAGGTAGTCCTGTGCCGCCAGGTGCGAGGCCACCGTCCACCATGCTGCGCTCGCAGGATTGATACCTGAAGCAATTCGTCGACATTTCGTTATTCCACGATCCCTTATACGCATAATAACATTGCTAACACAACGCGATAAAGAATTTTAATTACACTATATCGTAGTTACATTTAAAATTTGTAAGGATATCGACTTAAGAAGTTTGCTCGTCGCCTTTGACTAATAAATGAGTCGTTCACTGCACAAATCGATTAACTCTACCAGTCACATAAAAATTGTAACATTACTGACGATTATTTTTTGGCTATTCTTTCTTATTAATTTTACATACCGTTAGATGAAAGCTACATCTGTATTTATACATTCTTCGATATTTATTTGAATTTATATTGTAAAGGGTTTTTTTAACAAACAATGTACATAATGTCATCTCATTTCTCAACTTTTTGTTTTATGGAGCTAATCGATTTGTGCAATGAAAGAGTCGAATAAAAGTGTATAAAAATATTTTACCTAAACTCGCAGCTTGACTGGCAGCCACGCTCAGGGTACCAAGACTGCTGTGAGAGTATGGGGGTGGTGGTGGTGCAGAGGCCGGCGTGTGGCCCCCAAAGCCCGGAGCAGAGCCACCTCTGCCCAGCATGGCGTAAGCCGATGGCAAATGATGGGCCCCCAACCCATATCCACCGGGCATTCCACCGAAAAGCGACGAAGCTGCACTGTCGCCTCGAGGCCAATACGCTGTAATCAGAATCAAAACGACCAGGTTCAATTGTTGTTGAAAGCTGCACTTTGACCACAGGTTGTACCTGCGTTTATATCAACAAGGCATCTAATTCACATTCATACTAGTTTAATAAGCTAGCCATTGATCAGTTCTCTACACTTATCGATTACAGAGTAGCTCGTTAGTTGTTTGAACTTGAGAAGCTACTGGTGAACTGCTCTATGGGTCGACTGTGGAAGATCGATTAGTCTTCTTCTGTATTATTCTAATTCTATCTCCCATTTCCAAGAATAAGGAGTCAAACAACAACATGAAACGTCGACTGTGGATCCGAGGATCGTGGGTTCGAATCTCCGTGCCTTATTTTTCGTTTAGACTCCTACATAATATCGGTTATAAAATCATTCATTTTAAGAAGAATTACTTGCCCTACGAGCATAGTTTATCAATCACACTCAAACAGCAAAATCCCCTCTGTTTGCCGTTCAACCAGCGATGGAAAAAATGTTTCTCCTTTCATTTGCTGCAGTCCTCGTTATCGAAATAATCAATAATTTAATTGCACCTGCGAGTTCGATGGGGAACGGGACGATAGAGCGGCATTGTTGCATATTTTTTCCATAGAATCGCGGATCAACTTTCCTCTGTTCGAATCCTCTCATTACCAGCGCGTTTCCGCCAACATTGTCAAGCATGTTGATTCGTCTCGGTTTAGTGTTACGCGAACTCCCGTCAGCGATTCGAGTTAATTAACCAATTATCCGCGAGCGTCATACGCAATTGATTTACTCTGTACAGTTAAATACAGGCTGCTCCGCTAGAAACTGGACACCTTAATGTCATCGCCATTTGAAATGACAGGGCGTTGGTATAAAAAATCATGTACCTCTGACAGGTACATAATGTACTGGTAGCAGTTTCATTGAGTGACAGTAAACGTTTCTTGAACTCGAACTGTGTAATAGTAATTTATCATAAAATTTCAATAATAACGATACCTCATTTATTCAATGCTAAGTATCGAATATGACGCAAGTTCCATTCAAGTAGGTTCTCGGTTCTCGACTGCGACTGCGAGGTACAACAGGTAAGGAAAGTTCAACGACCTTTGCTTGAAGGTCATTCAAGGTCAAATATCTTAGCAGCTCAATATCTTTGAAAGTATTTGTTTTAAGGTAGCTAGCTTCTCAAAATTTATTACTTTATTAAATTCAGCACAAAGAACTGGTCAATGCACTAAAACACAATGAAGGTGACCTAAACAACCCTTCTTACACCGTCACTCACCCTTCAAGACTACATAACTTGAAGACACGTCACCTTTTTCGATTATTTGAGATGCCGAATACACGTATGGTGTCCAATAACGATAATTCGTTCGTCCTTCGGTAACAAAGGACGCAAACTCATCGAAAAATATTTGTAAATTCGGGAAACGTAATTAACAGGGAACGAGCCAGGCCACTATTATCCGTAATGGCGAACTATTTCGGACTTTGTTACGTAACCGTGTTAACGAGCGCAAAACCGAACGGAGAAGTTGTCCGCGGTAGAAAAACCGAGTCGTGGCCCTCGACAATACATGCAAATGCAACGACAAGAACCAATGAATTCGCTACGCGAAAACGCGTTTAAATAATAGAACTCGTGAGCCGAAAGTAAATCATCGCGTCGCCATTACGCCGAAACTTCCATTATCGAAACTGGAACTGGGCTTGATGCATGCCTCCGCATCTGAATATTCATAAAATACAAATCGAATCCACGGGTAATCGAGTACTTTTGTTTTTGGATGTTCGGCGTGTTATTAGAATGATTGTGTATCCGGTTATTCGAATATTCGTTACATATGTATTTGGATATTCGGAGTAGAGGTGCCGAAATTGTGCTACTTAAAATTGTAGTTCGACGTCTGAGATAATTGTTATTACACCTTAAACTTTAAGACGTGTTTTAGTTAGCATGTTGTCTTATTTGAAAGTGAATATTCTTTCGCATCCCATAGCGAGAGGAGAGGCCGTGTCGTCAAAATAATATTTAGAGATGATCTCGCGACTGTACGATCCTCGCACGACGAGGATGACGCTTATCTTTAAGGAGTGGAGGCAAGATAGAATTAACTTCTTTTATAAAGCTTTCTCGATGATCCTAGCCTTAAATATCGTGGTGAACAACTGACAAGGCTGCAGGACTCCGAAATGAATTTTTTATACAAAAAGAGTTTATACAAAATAATGTAATTTTTAAAAAACCAAACGATGCAGATTCAGTTGAGATGACTCGAGTCTCAGCAACGAAATCGTCTTCGCTAATTATGATTATCGAAATCGCGTGTTAGCCTATTGGCCAAGCAATAATTAAACTATTAAGACATATCGACAATAATAATAATAATAATTAAGCGCTGTATACGTGCACGCCGACGTTGTCGAACATGAAGCGTGGTAAATTGTAGAAGCTAAGAACTCGTTATGGTAATGTCGCTGTCGCGGGCGTTAGCGCGAGCGAACGAGCAAAAATGGCGACTCGAAGTCGATGCTTTCTAATTTTCATAAACCACCGACGATTTTCATTAACCTCCCCCAGTCAACGACGGCGCGATTAAACAATCACCGTACGTGCTTGTTACGTACCGCAACCGCATTGCGTAATTCATAGTCGATCGTCTTATCGCTGATTACGCTAAACGTCATCCATTATGCGTTCTCGCTTGAAATAATAGGCATGGTAATACTCTGACTTGGCACGAATGTGCTTCGAAAGGTATGGTCAGTAACCCAGTCTTCGCCCGATGTTTGAAAACGTTTCGAAGTGGAATGCTTTCGAACAAGTTGATTGAATGAGAATATGAGGAGTTTCATCGATCGTCAATTTTGTACGAATTTATTTAAGGTAAATTTTATGTAGGAATTTATTTAGTGTAAATTCAATGGAAATTTATTTTGCCGAAAAAATATTGAATTATAGCCAAATTATTCCCATTTTAATTTAAGCATTTTGAAAAGGCGCTTTGAATTGGAAGGAGTGAATGTGTCATGCCCAAAGAAGGCTGAGAGGATTACTAGAATATGGAGCATAGGAATATGTTACTAGGTGGATGTGTCAAGGTCGCTGTCGTTGCTTAAATGGAGCGTTCTACTTATTTTGATAACCACACAGAGGTTCCTTCAAAATGCACAGTCACTGAATTGGCCACGTTATAGGTATCAGACCTCCTTCCGCTTCCCATGATTCATCATAATTGATAGCTATTCAATAACAGAGCACTCCATGAACTCCGCACTGCCCGTAATCGCAATAGACATTGGAATCCGATGCAAGTTAACTACATTTGCGTTAATGCTACAACTCATTATACCGCGATAAACTGCGAAATCAGTGTATACACTAGTCGATAAACAGTGAAATCGATCATAATCGACCCAGAAAGGATACCTTGAAAAAAAATGCATTATACATACATCTATAACTTTTCATTTTCATGTTGCATACAATTAGAATCATTTCTACTTCGAAAGGTTAAACGAATAAAAATGTTTTAATCTGCATTATTATATCATGCATTCCGGATAGTGAAAGTAAATACTATTTGGGAATTCTGTTGATTCATTTTCAAGAGAAGAGAGATATCCGATTATCTTTTACAAAAACGATGTATTCCTTCCACTTCGTCATCTATTGAACTTCAATCCAGGTTCGATTAATAAAACAAACTTTCCACTCAAAACAATCGACACGGTAGGCAAAAATAACAGAATTTTCAAGAGAGGAACTCGACTCAATCGCGTATCCGCTTTAAGAGGTATTCTATTGTAGCTTGGCTATGCAGGAACTAGACCACTTTTGAAATTTCATAAATCGATAATCAATCGGCACATTGACTCCAAACTTTGCGATGTCATTGATAAACATCTCTTTAGCTAAAGAAATTTCTATCATTACAAAAAAAAGCGCAAAATAAATTGTTCCCAAATCGATTATACCCCCTTTAACCCGCCTAAAGTAAAGCACGTTTCGTTATTACATATCATTTCTTTTCAAGTCAACCCGAACGAATAAACGAAAAATCGCCTAAACGAAAAATCACCTAAACAAAAATTCGCCGTGTCCCTGAATCGAGTATTTCGTGTATGAAACGCAATTCCCCGGCGCGAGTGTGCGTCTGTACAATTTATTGTTACAAACGCGATCGCGAATGTAATGTTGATTTTCTACGAGTACCGTGGCCTTGAGCAAGGCCGTGGCATTGAAATCCAAGCGCCGCTTTAATTTATACCGGTCGTTGAACCCCTCGCTGGCTTATACGACTACTTCACCGGCTGAGCAGCTGCATAATGTAGCTCTAGGTGCATATGTATATATACGTACACGCACGCACGCGTCCATATGCAAGTGTGTTACGAGCCGCGACACGAGGCATTACGAGGCTGAAATTTTGCCGAACCACATTTTGAACCTCGCGTCCTTGGCCTCCTCGCTACCTTTCTCCGCTCTTTTTCGCACTTTGCCACCCAAGTATACTTTAAGCGCGCTTTAAACGCGATTTCTAGAACGATATCATACACACCAGAATCCTTTGGAGGAGCGAAAAATGTTCACGTTTAATTACGGTTCGAGCCCCTGGACTTGATTCAACGGGATAAAATTAATGACGATAGGCCAGAGGGGAGCAGATAAATAATTTTGAAAATTACACGCCGGTGTGGCGCCGACGCTCATGTCGGACCATTTATTTCCAAGCTGACCACCGTTCTTCCGTATAAAATATGCTAGTTTCCCGATTGACTTTTAATGCCAGCGCAAATTTCTTCTCTTAATGAGCTCCGGTCCGCGTCGATTCCATTTCGTGCTTTCCTCTTTAATCCGGGGAGCTTTAATGGCGATCCATTATTCGAGTAACCGACCGACCAGCGGGAGAGTTAAGCCAGTCCGCCATTTTCGGAGATACCGCTCGACTTGCCAACGTTGCACGCGCCTGGTAACGATTCCCGATAAAAGAAAACACGGGGAAATG